GTTACCTTTGCTCAATCCCTTTTCACACCATCTAGGACAGGCACTTGCCTCTCATCCTATGCTGAGAGCAAAATCACCTAATGGAGATCCAGGTCTGTCCCTCGAGCTACAGTTTCCCATCTCCCCTTCAGATGTGGGGTTCATTTTGACCTAGCCAGGTTCTACCTGCTGCAGCACCTGCTGCTTCTAGCCTACCAGTTTTTGGGCAGCCCCATCCCAGGGAGGACATTGCCTTCCTTGGCAAAGTAAGGACACCTCCTCTTCCTCTAGCCTACCAGTTTTGGGGCAATTCTGTCCGGGGTGGGGGGGGAACTGGGACTTTGCCTGTTCCTGGCAAAGTAAGGTCACCCTCTCCCCCTTTCACACCATTCTGAGGTTACCCACTTGGCTTCCTTTCTCTTCTTGCATACCATATGTAACTATCCTAATCATACTTAGTTTTACGTTACGAAGACCAGGATCACAGACAAAAAATAGAGATCTGACTGATAGGCTATTTAATGCAAAACATTGCTGCATTCCATTCATTTACTTTTATTATTTGGATCTTTCTACCAAGAAGTTATGAATGGGGACTTTAAACTAAAAACAAAACCTGGTGGTCATTTTGACCTATTATAAGTGAAATATATCATGACAATAGTTGGAAATTATCAGTATGCAAAGTGTCAAGACTGATTCCAAATTTCTCTTTATACTACAGTATAAGCTGCTCCCCCACCCCACCAAAAAAGAAAAGAAAGAGGGAAAGAGAAGTATGGCTTGAGTGCAGGAGCTAAAAACCTTGATTCACCTCTCATTAAAAGTTCTCAGGCAGTTTGGATTCCTTAGCTTAATTCCTTAACTTATTTGCAGTAAAAGAATGTGCTTTAAATTATTATAAAATGAAGTTTTTATGTTTATATCACTAGGGCAACTGTCAACTAATCATAACAGTTGTGCCATTTTAATATGAGAGCCCTATACACAAATAATACAAACAACACCTGCTCTTTACTATAATTGCCAGTCTTTAGACCTACCATTTTATTTTTTTTCTTTTCCAAAATTAAAGAACAGAAGCTGAACAAATGTTGTCCAAATGTTTATATCTCCTGGCTGTCAAAAACTTAACTAGTTAAGCTGGAGAACCACTCTATGTCAGAAACTGAAATTATGGACAGGTACATCCAAATTTCTAACATTTTTACCATTCCCATCCTTTCTCCTCAGCAGCAGTCTACCCACACACATACTCTCTTCACACAGCATAGTTGATAGAACAGTATGACAGACTTCTGACACTGAACTAAATTTGTCTAGCTGCCACTGGCAACTTATTCATAGCCAGTGTCTCCAGAAGAATGTGCAATTAATAGCTACCAAGCTCTCCTCATTATGTAATCCTGGAAATTTCAATTATTCTTGGAGGAGTTTTTTGTGTTTCAAAGTACAACTCTTAAAAAAAAAATACTTAGTGAAGTACAAATGTTGATATCTTCTTTAAAAAAAGTGAAATGAAATGAAATGTGCAGAAAACACTGAATCCAAAAAAGAACTGATCTAATTGTGGATAGATTAAAATGTCAGATTGATTTAAGGAAGCTTTTCTCCAAATCTGTTAATTGCTGGCTTATGTTCTACTGATATATAGCACCTCCATAATTCTTTTAACCTTTCTCTCTCTACAGCTTTTTACATCCAACTTTGTATTATTCCTGACATGTCATGCTTTTGAATCCATTGTGAAGTTGCATGGTTTGCATACTTGAGAGTTTAACTTTCATTTGTTTTGTTGCCTTGTACATAAAGCAAAAAAAAAAAAACAACTACCTAGGGACTTTTTCAGGATTCTGGTGCAAGGATTATATAATGCCTTATCTAAGCATTTAGTTTCGGGGAAATGAGGGGAAAAAAATCTGAATTCAGACAAGTTCACTGTGAAAACCATGACAACAATTTGTACTCTTGCTTTATTATTGCATCTGGCATGGTCACTCTTGGAAATTCAATCTATTATCGTTGCTAGGCATCAGTTGCTGTGCAACCTAAAAGGGTATGTTGTGCGTTCAGACTAAGAAGCATTAATAAACCTGTAGGCCTCTGTCTACAGTTCTAAACAGCATGGCCCAAACCTTAAAGTGCTCGATGCATAGTCAGTATACTTCAAACTGTATACTGGGATCTAACAAAATGAGGATTGAAAGAGGAATATGGAATTTTGGTATACTCTAAACTATACAATTCTATTTCTTTAAATTCTTGTGATTTGCTAATATATCTGGGTTCCAAACCTTTAATATTGAAATATAAATTCCAGTATGCTTTGAAACTACTTTCACATGTGTATACATGTAAGCACATAACATACATGCACATTAGAAATGGCTATGCTCTATAAAGGGACACGGTGGCTCAGTGGCTAAGACATTGAGCTTGCTGATCAGAAAGGTTGGCAGTTCAAATCCCTAGCGCCACATAACGGAGTGAGCTCCCATTATTTGTCCCAGCTACTGCCAACCTAGCAGTTCAAAAGCACATAAAATGCAAGTAGCATTTGAAGGTGGAAGACGTCACCCTCTTACCCAGCGACGAAGGTTGGAAAGAAAAGAACAGGGCCTCCAACCTCCAGAAAGAGGGCCGTCAGACATCTAACCTGTGCCACTGCTGTTCACGTTCCCTAACCGGATCTGGTCGAAAATCTGGAAGTACAACCTCCTGGGAACAATGGAAAATGGAATTCACCGGATCTAACCTCAACACAACCTTGTTGCTGTGGAACACGCACAAATCCTCCCTGGAGGAAAGTGCTCCCAACTGTGACACTTGCCTAGCCGACGTGATAGCCACGAAAAACACCACTTTAAGGGTTAGGAGCTTCAGGCTAACCATCCTCAACGGCTCAAAGGGTTCAGCCATGAGAGTCCGCAACACAGTAGGGAGATTCCACGTGGGGAACCTATGGACCACAAGTTGGAGACCCTCCAAAGAAACCTCTTAACAATGGGTAGTTGGGTGAAGGCAACCGGGCCCTCACCTGGGAGAACTGTAGTAAGGACAGCCAGCTGCCTATGCACGGTGCCCCGGGAGAGCCCCTTATCCAACCCGTTCTGGACAAAGTCCAAGACCTGTGGAACTGAGGCCCTCGTGGGCACCACCTGGATCACCTGACACCAGGCCAAGAAGGAAACCCAGCTGGAGTCATAGATCCTCGTAGTAGATTGTCTGCGCAAGGCCTCTATGGTTCTAATCACTGCAGCGACAAGTGAACCTCCCTCAGGCACTCCTCTCAATCTCCACATGGCTAGTTGCAGCCAGTGTGGCTCCAGGAGCACTAGCTTCCCCTGGTGCAACTCTAATTCCTCCTCCGGGATCCACCATGGAGGCCGGACCGACAGAGTCATGAGATCTGCAAACCAGGCCCTCCTCGGCCAGTGAGGTGCCACCAGGATCAGCTCTGCCTGCTCCCTGACTAGTTTCTGAACTACCCCAGGAATGAATGAGGGGGAGGGGAGGAAAACCATACAGTGGCCCATCTGGCCACCTTGTGCAAAGGGCGTCGACCCCCTCATTCCCCAAGTTGGGAACTGAGAAAAGAACAGGGGAAGCTGGGCATTGGTTGGAGTGGCGAAGAAGTCCACCACCGGTCGTCCAAAATTCTGGCAGATGCTCTGAAATAACTCCAGGGAGAGGCTCCACTCTCCGTTGTCCATCGTCTCTCGACTCAACCAGTTTGCCTGACAGTTGTCGATCCCCATGATGCGCTCTACCCGGATCAACCGCAGGTGTCTCTCCGCCCAGCTTCCCAGAGAGGAAAACCTTCCCTGCATGGGAATCTATAACAGCCCCCAAATGGAGAATCTTAGTGGATGGGGTGAGATAACTCTTTTCAAAGTTAACAGAAAAACCTAACCATTGAAGGGTACCTATGACCTGCAGGAGGTCCACCCTCACCTGACTTGGGGATGCCCCCTGGACGAGAACATCATCCAGGTAGCAATACAATTCTAATGGGGAAATCCCTCAAGTACGCCACCACTACCGCCAGCACCTTGGTGAATGACCTGGGTGCGGATGACAACCCAAAGGTTGGTTAATAGGAGAACCGGAGGAAACACCTATGCAGTGGAAGAATGGGGATATGGAGATAAGCCTCCGTGAGATCTGTAGATGCCATGTAGTCCCCTTCCTGTATGCCTGCCTATATGGACTTAAATGAGGCCATCTTTAACTTGCGGTAAATGAAATATTGGTTCAAGAGCTTCAAGTCAAGAATAGCCCTCCAACCCCCCAAAGCCTTCGGCACAAGAAAGAAGTTAGAATAGAACCCCCAACCCACCTGATCTGAGGGGACCAGCTCTACTGCGGCAATATCAAGCAGGTGGTTAATAGCCTGATGCATCTGCCTGCGCTTGTCTATGTTTTGAGCTGGGGGAAATGGGCGGTAGTAGTTCGGGGGAATGGAGAGGAACTCTAGCCAAAGCCCATGTGTGAACGTGCTGAGCACCCAAGCATCTGAGGAAATCTCCGCCCAGGCCTTGGAAAAGAGAGCTAGGCGACCACCAATGGGTAGGGTCGGAGACGACCTATTTGCCCCAGCAGTAAGGGCAACCACCTCCCCCTCGAAAGGGGCACTTACTCTGTTGTTGGAAACGGACCCTATCCCTGTTGTAACTTCTCTCGGGTAGCCTCTCTGACCTGGGAGAAGAGTACCTGCTTTGTTGAGCCTCCTGCTCCTGAGGGCGATACTAGGGCTTGCAGTAGAATAGACTTCTGCTCTGCCTTTTTTGCCAAAGTGGGCAGCACCTTCTTCTTATTCTTGTCCTCCATGAGGAGCGGTCAAGGGCACCCCTGAAGGGACAGCCCCCAGTATAGTCGGCTGACGCCAGTTGCCACTTTAACTTGTTGTTCGCTTGCCAACCCTGGTGCCAAAGAAGGTGACTAGAGGTAATGGACAACGCCGTTGTCCTGGAAGCAAACTTCATGGCATTCAACGTGGCATCAGCCAAGAACTGTGCCACCGCCACTAACTTGTTTAGGTCCTGGTGGAGCCGTACATCTTCTGGAGGGATACGTTCCTGGATCTTCTCCATCCACAGGATAGCCGTAAGATTGAAGAACGAGGCAGAGGCCGCTGCCTTGATGGCCCAGGCCACTGACTGGAACATCTTCCTTAGTGTCATCTCTGCTTTCCTGTCATCTGCCTTAAGGTTGCCAGCCACATCCTTGGCCACCAGGAAGGTAGGTGATGCTAAAGCGACCACAGGTGGGTCCACGGTGAGTAGCTGCAATGCCTGGGAGAAATCTGGCTGAATATTATAAAAGTGCCTATCATTACTGCCAGGGTTGGGAAAGGCAGTAGGCTTCTCCCATTGTTTCTTTACCACCTCCAGAAATAGATGAGGGGCAGGAATCTCCTTCTTAACCGTCTTGGGTCCAGAAAAGACTGGGCCTCTAGGCTTCTTTGCTGCACCCCCCCTTCCTTGGACCCCTCTTTAGCTTCGTCCTTAGTTCTTTCCTTAGACCCTTCAGCCTGCTCAACCTGAGCAGTGGTACGCGCCTTGCGCAGGAGGGATTGGAATAAATTTGGCAGAAAAGGGCCAGTGAAGGCTGGAGGATTTGGCTTGGAATCATCCTCATCCTCAGACAAACCACTGGGCCTTATCCCGAGACACTTATCCTTCGCTAACTAGGGAGGGGAACACAGGACGGCTCACTGGAGCAGGAGGAGGATGTGCCTGAGAGGAGCTAGGCCTGGAGGACTTGCACTGGTCTGATGCTAAGGACTGGGCAGCCTGCTGCTGTAGGCCAGCAGCAATGCCAGAGGAAATGGCCCTCTCAATCAGATTCTGCAACTCCCTGGAAAGATCATCCCCATCCAACGAATCCCAGCTGGGATTCACTGGATCCTGAGCTGCCCTAGCCTGGGGAGCCAGGGTAGGCCTGGGCAAGGCCTGATCTCCACTGGGATCCACCTGCATGCAGGAATCCTCCAAATCTAAGTCATGGTCTTTCAGGGAAAGAGGTGGCAAAGGGGAAGCCTCCCAAAAAA